CTTTGGACACAAAGCAGTTTACAAAGTAACCATTGCATCTATTCTGTTCATTCATCTGCAGATCAAAGGGATGAACTTTAATCTGCAGATGATGACAGTTAGAGCAACCTGACAAGTAGAAAAGTTTTTTTTTTTCCTAAATGTTCCTCCATTTAACACCTTATTAACCCTTATTTTACTCTAATCAGACCTAATTAATTCCCTATTCCTTATTGTCCTGCTCCATTAAAATACTATTTTCGTGATGATATTTTGTTTTTGTTCATTTCTATTTTATTACCCAATAATATTTAAACTTTTTTTGTTTTTGTTTGTTTTGTTCGTTAATATTTTTACACTTTTAAGATATATTTACACATTTCACATTTAAAGAAAAATAAAAAAAAAAATGTGATTAATTTGTAAACAACTTTTTAATGCTTTGTACCAGAATCAAACCTTTTGTGTAATTTTAAATAGGTCAGATTACAGAATATAACGTGCACTTTTTATCTGCAGTAACACTATGAAGTTGATTTTCTAAATCTGGAGAGTGCAAAATCTGGCACAGCTGTGCACGGTAGCCAATCAGCTTCTAACTTCAGCTTGTTCAATTAGGCTTTGACAAAAGAATATCTGGAAGCTGATTGGTTTCTATGTACAGCTGCACCAGATTTTGCACTCTCTGGTTTTAGAAAATCAACCCCTATGTATTTTTAAACTAATACTGGTCATAGAAAAAAAAATGGTGACATCATGCTCTCCACCTCACCCAATCAGAAACACTTTGCATTCATTCAGAAAATGCATAGCATTCTCTGAATGGCACCCATGCTGAGCCGCTGACCTCTCGTGCTCAAAATGCAGCAGGCCAGGTGCTCATCATGACAATTAGAAGCTAGTGGAGATCACAGGAGTAGTGGTGTCTACTTCAGTGATTTCCAGCTTCCAAGGGCATCATCCAGATATGGTACATGCATAGTTACATTAGTCCAAGCTGTATCAATGAAACTATGTATAAAATATACATATCTACAATTCCTATTTAACAACACAACTCAATATTAATAAAATACTTTGTTCCCTTTTCTTTGGAATCAAATGTCTTGTACCTTAATATAAAGCTATAATTTTATATATATATATATATATATATATATATATATATATATATATATACATACATCTGTGCAACGTTGTCTTCTACCGTACCTCTTTCACTTTAATATATACAGTTATTTTGCATACGATTCCTTACATTTCCTGAAGTTTATGCTGCAGAGTATGCTTCTGCTTATCATTAAAACTTTCTAGAACATAAAATCCCAAGCTAAGCATACAAATCAACAGCAGCAATCTATCACAGCAATACAAAAGTGTAATGAGTAAACATAATTTAATCTACTGTCAGCAAGTATGATGATTATCCCAGTCTATGCGAGTCTTGTAGACAGGTTTAAACAAAAACAAAACAAAAACATTCACAGAAAAATTCTAAACTTTCCGCAGATGCAGCAGTGGCTGGTGATATATCAAAAAAGACAAATGTTTGAAAGATTTATTTTTTTTTTTGTACCTAAAATATTACATCGGTAGAAGCGGATTGTAAATTTGACAGTAAGAGCCAGAAGCTGTATAGTTCTCACTTGAAATTGAAATTCTCTGTTTTATTTTCACCTCATCTGTCATTTTTAAAATGGTGGTAGTAACCATTAACACAAAATCATCACCAGACATTGCATTCAGCTTTATACACTAGAAGCACTGTAAATGAAACATGTTAAAAAAAGAAATAGAGTAATAAGTGCAAATTGGATATTATTGGAAATCTTAGTATCACAGACATGTAAGCAAAACTGTCTTACGCATAGGCTGCCATTGCTGATCTTCAGAAAATGCTAGTTTCCTGGTTGTCCCACTGATACTCCAGCTGCACTACGTTGTTAGTCATTGACCTGGAACATGTATGCAGACCAGGAATTATCACTTTATTCTGACCTTATGGGACTGCCGGAAGTATGCTATTACCTAGCAAAAGACGTAAAAACTTTTATTTTGGATAAATAACTTGGCCACAGCCATTTATTATTGGTATACTTCGTTTTCAATCAAATCTTTATTTGTATACAGCAAATTAGCATGAATATATTGAGCATTTCACTAAAATTATCACTACTTAACCACAGCTTAGTCACTACGACTCAAGCTGCCCATATTAAAAACAACAACTTATTAACCATCCTCATATTCTTTGACAATCTTACTCCATCTGAAGTAAACTTACTGACTTGTCTCCTTTTAATTTAAGGTGAACTTACCAAATAATAATTTGCCACAACTAAAGGACTGGTGGGAGGGGGAGCACCACAGAGATGCCTCCTAGGTGGCTGATCCAAGAGAATAGGACCCCCTTTTTATAGTCCCCCTAAACTCTACTGGTAACTTCTGATAGGTCAGTTGCCATCCAGGTGTCACCCCACGCACCCCAGGTGCAGTGGGGGGCTTAAAACGCCTACTTTCCAGAAGCTTATCCATTATCCAAGGACTAGTGGGGGGGAGGGGGCTTGAAACTTTTAATGAACTTCTAGAAGTTGCCCCTTTAACATCAGGCACAAGGGAGGACTTAAAACCTGCTGACCTTCTAGAAGTCTTTCCAGTTGTGTGTGTATATATATACAGTCAGGTCCATAAATATTGGGACATCGACATAATTCTAACATTTTTGGCCCTATACACCACCACAATGGATTTGAAATGAAACGAACAAGATGTGCTTTAACTGCAGACTGTCAGCTTTAATTTGAGGGTATTTACATCCAAATCAGGTGAACGGTGTAGGAATTACAACAGTTTGCATATGTGCCTCCCACTTGTTAAGGGGCCAAAAGTAATGGGACAATTGGCTTCTCAGCTGTCCCATGGCCAGGGGTGTGTTATTCCCTCATTATCCCAATTACAATGAGCAGATAAAAGGTCCAGTTCATTTCAAGTGTGCTATTTGCATTTGGAATCTGTTGCTGTCAACTCTCAAGATGAGATCCAAAGAGCTGTCACTATCAGTGAAGCAAGCCATCATTAGGCTGAAAAAACAAAACAAACCCATCAGAGAGATAGCAAAAACATTAGGCGTGGCCAAAACAACTGTTTGGAACATTCTTAAAAAGAAAGAACGCACCAATGAGCTCAGGAACACCAAAAGACCCGGAAGACCACGGAAAACAATTGTGGTGGATGACCGAAGAATTCTTTCCCTGGTGAAGAAAACACCCTTCACAACAGTTGGCCAGATCAAGAACACTCTCCAGGAGGAAGGTGTATGTGTGTCAAAGTCAACAATCAAGAGAAGACTTCACCAGAGTGAATACAGAGAGTTCACCACAAGATGTAAACCATTGGTGAGCCTCAAAAACAGGAAGGCCAGAGATTAGAGTTTGCCAAACGACATCTAAAAAAGCCTTCACAGTTCTGGAACAACATCCTATGGACAGATGAGAACAAGATCAACTTGTACCAGAGTGATGGGAAGAGAAGATTATGGAGAAGGAAAGGAACTGCTCATGATCCTAAGCATACCACCTCATCAGTGAAGCATGGTGGTGGTAGTGTCATGGCGTGGGCATGTATGGCTGCCAATGGAACTAGTTCTCTTGTATTTATTGATGATGTGACTGCTGACAAAAGCAGCAGGATGAATTCTGAAGTGTTTCGGGCAATATTATCTGCTCATATTCTGCCAAATGCTTCAGAACTCATTGGACGCCGCTTCACAGTGCAGATGGACAATGACCCAAAGCATACTGCAAAAGCAACCAAAGAGCTTTTTAAGGGAAAGAAGTGGAATGTTATGCAATGGCCAAGTCAATCACCTGACCTGAATCCGATTGAGCATGCATTTCACTTGCTGAAGACAAAACTGAAGGGAAAATGCCCCAAGAACAAGCAGGAACTGAAGACAGTTGCAGTAGAGGCCTGGCAAAGCATTACCAGGGATGAAACCTAGCGTCTGGTGATGTCTATGTATGTGTTCCAGACTTCAGGCTGTAATTGACTGCAAAGGATTTGCAACCAAGTATTAAAAAGTGAAAGTTTGATTTATGATTATTATTCTGTCCCATTACTTTTGGTCCCTTAACAAGTGGGAGGCACATATGCAAACTGTTGTAATTCCTACACCGTTCACCTGATTTGGATGTAAATACCATCAAATTAAAGCTGACAGTCTGCAGTTAAAGCACATCTTGTTCATTTCATTTCAAATCCATTGTGGTGGTGTATAGAGCCAAAAATGTTAGAATTGTGTCGATGCCCCAATATTTATGGACCTGACTGTATATTTATATACTATATTGCCAAAAGTATTCGGATGCCTGCTTTTACACGCATGTGAACTTTAACAGCATCCCAGTCTTAGTCCATAGAATTCAATATTGAGTTGGCCCACCCTTTGCAGTTATAACAGCTTCAACTTTTCTGGAAAGGCTGTTCACAAGGTTTAGGAGTGTGTCTATGGGAATGTTTGACTATTCTTCCAGAAGCACATTTGTGAGGTCAGGCACTGATGTCAGACAAGAAGGCCTGGCTCGCAATCTCCACTCTAATTCATCGCAAAGGTGTTGTATTGGGTTGAGATCAAGACTCTGTGCAGGCCAGTCAAGTTCCTCCACCCCAAACTCGCTTATTCATGTCTTTATGGACCTTACTTTGTACACTGGTGCACAGTCATGTTGGAACAGGAGGGGGCCATCCCCAAACTGTTCCCACAAAGTTGGAAGCATGAAATTGTCCAAAATGTCCTGGTATGCTGATGCTTTAAGAGTTTCCTTCACTGGAATAAAGGGGCTAAGCCCAACCCCTTGAACAACAACCCAACACCATAATCCCCCCTCCACCAAACATTACACATGGCACAATGCACTCAGGCAAGTATCGTTCTCCTGGCAACCGTCAAACCCAGACATGTCCATCAGATTGCCAGACAGAGAAGCGTGATTTGTCACTCCAGAGAACACATCTCCACTGCTCTAGAGTAAAGTGGTGGCTTGCTTTACAGCACTGTATCTGACTGCATTGCACTTGGTAAAGCTTGGAAGCAGCTGCTCGGCCATGGAAACCCATTCCATGAAGCATTTACACACTGTTGTGCTAATCTGAAGGCCACATGAAGTTTGGAGGTCTTTAGCTATTGACTCTGCAGACAGTTGGTGACTTCTGCGCACTGTGCGCTTCAGCACGCGCTGACCCCGCTCTGTCATTTTACGTGGCCTACCACTTCATGGCTGAGTTGCTGTTGTTCCCAGTTGCTACCACTTTTTTATAATACCACTAACAGTTGACCGTGGAATATTTAGTAACAAGGACATTTTACGAATGGACTTATTGCACAGGTGGCAACCTATTACGGTAGCAGCTTTGAATTCACTGAGCTCCTGAGAGGAACTCATTCTTTCACAAATGTTTGTAGAAGCAGTCTGCATGCCTAGGTGCTTGATTTTATACATCTGTGGCCACGGAGGTAATTGCAACACCTGAATACAATGATTTGGAGGGGTGTCCTAATACTTTTGGCAATATAGTGTGTGTATATATATATATATATATATATATATATATATATATATATACATACACACACACATTCAGTATATACACCCAGAAGCTATGGACAACAGAAACAGTTGCCTAATATTACTGTTATCTGGCCCGGATTAGTGGCAGCTCCTTCCTAGTAGTCTCAGACCCTCTCTCTCTATTTACTACCTCCCTCTGAGTTTTCTAGCCCAACCACACATATACAGGAAGTGATACAAAAAACCGCTGCTCATAAATAAGCAGCACAGCCACTTACAAGTACAGACAGTAGAGGGAAGCAGATCTCTACAGTGGCACAAAGAAGCCTTAGGCAGGAGGACATGGGCAGATCCCCTAACACCACAGGACCCCTGACTTTTACCTACGTGGTGGGTTATCTAGTACCACATAGTCGTAGCTGTATATAGCAGGGCCCCATAAAAGAAAATACATTACTGAGCTCCCTGGATGTTCAAAAAAGCCACTGCTGAGATTTATTTTCTTCTAAAATAATCTGAATGTTCCCACGGCAGTACAGTAGAGATATCTAAGCTGGGCACTTGCTGATTTTTTTCCAAATGGTTTGCCACATGTAATCTGTGTGCCCTTAAAAAGCACTAAGATAGCACAGGGTTTAATTAAATATGTCACAGACCATACCACTGCTCTACAGTAAGGATGACTGGGAGTAGGTGTTGCTGGGCTCTCTAACAATATCATAGCATGCTATGGAAATATTTATGCATATGAATCATTGCTTTTGGTGCAAAAGCATATGATAATACAGCTGATTCTTGTCCAATTCATTTTTGAGTGGACTGAGTATTAAGCATGTAACATCCAGTCATACTTACTTAATTAGTAAGGAACAGGAGAACTTTCCAAGCAGCATGGTGTTACAGTAATTGTCTTGTTCCATGTTATTTTCTCAGTGGGTGTTGGAAATCGAGACATTTCTATAATTGCAACTGTATGTTATGTATAATTCTGTCATGACAATTACCTGCCTTACACCAAGCTTCAGGTAATTTCAGACAACTAAATTTTTAATGAAATACTCTCAGCTAAAAAAAAAAATCTCTCTATGAGATCTTGATATTGCCAGCATCTCTCACATTTTTGGAATATAGAAAGGAATTTTACTTGTAATATAGGATGAAGCATTTGCTAAATAACAGTATTTATAAACTTAATAAGAGCTGTAATAGTCTTTTAAAAAGCTGTCAATGTTGTAAAGGGTTTCATTAAAGGCTTGTGTACAAGAGCACCTGAGATGTATCATGTTCCTGATATAATATATTTCAAATAGATAAATTGGAAAATAAATTGTGTGAATATTCACTTCAATTATCCAATAATGTGAAAAACAAATTCCTGTTTACCTATTTCATCTGCTCATGATTGAATTACTAAAATTAATATTCACACATTTTATCATTTGTATAAAGATTCTTAAAACAACTACACGTGCCTCCACTCCAGCGATGCTGCCTCCTTCGGGTGGCCTTCTTCTGTGTTCCGGTCTTCAATGAACCGGAATGAAGTCATGTCTGTGTATGCACAAGAATTCATTAATCTCAGTGAACCAGCAAATAAGAATACTTTAAGTTCTCATGTACTCTGGACGTTTTTTACAGCTACTGATTTTGGCTTTTGGCTTTTTTTTCTACAGCCAGTAAACTCCCCAGCATGTTAGCCTATGTGTTCATGCACACATAGACTGTAATCAACATTTTATGGCAGGGACGGTTTTTGGCTGAAAAAAAACCCCAGGACTAGTGGGTTTCTATAGCAGTTTTTTTAGCTGTAAAAACACTCTAACACTGAAAAAGTGGCAAAACGTGGTCAAACTTGGTAAAACATTGCAAACCAGTATTTTTTTACTTTTGTGACCCAAAAAATGTGTTTTTTGGTTAAAAAAAAAAGCAGAAAGAGCAGAAAAATACAGCTAAACGCGTCAAAACACAGCTAAACGCTAATGCAAAAATGCTAAAAACAGCTGAAAAACTCACTTTTTTAACAAGATTTTACACAGCTAATGTTACCAGCGTTATCAAAATGCCCAGTGTGCATGGAGCCTAATGCAGAAGAGACATATAAAAGTGTAAACATTATAAAGTGTAGCACTACTCCCGTTGGAGCTGCAGGAATACAGTCCAGGTTTCCCACAATATTTGCCCCACAGTTAGGCATGTAGGCTCATTTACACATTATTTTAGTGACCAGTCTAGGGCTGCTGTTTTTGTTGTTTTTATTTTTGGAAAACTTGGGTAGGATTGAGGAAATTAAGTGGGATACGCCAAAAACAAGAACTATGTTCACTGGAGGACTTAAGTATTTTTTCAGGACAGGCTATAATAAAGTCAGCAAAACAGTAGATTTCAGCTTTAAGGTAGTAGCAGTGGTGCTCTCTTTTTTAGAGTGTTAAGAGCAGAGATAAGGTTGATAAAGCTCTTCAGGACACAAGCCGGAGTCCCATTTAACTAGACCCAAAGTTGATCCACTAGCACCAAGGAGTATTAACAGCAGATCCTTCAGAGTTGTCTGTACTCCCAAGGCCCAAGGACAGCTGGTTTCCCTCTTACATGATACCAGAGCAGATCTTCAGTAGATAGCCCCTCAGTCAGCTCTTAGAAGTACCCGGGTCCCATGGTAGCATTGCCTGGAAGAGCAGAGTGCCCCCTAAAGGCTGGACTAATCCTATCCAAGAGAAGACCCAGAGCTCAGTGTGCTCACCGAATATATACAGTCTTCCAGCATGCCATCAGAGCCTGTCTCTCTGGTATAAGCCAGGGCTGTATCAATTTTCATGCTGCCATCTACAGAGCTTCACACCTATCATCCAAAAACTTCTCAAGCTTTTTAAATGCAGAGTAGGCTATCAGACTGGCAGCAGCTGAACACACTGAGCAGACCTGACTAGCAGAATACAGCTTCACCAACTACAGTGAGCTAATTATGCTTTTACCTAACAAACAATCACAACCACAACCTATAGCATAACTGAGAGTGGTAACTAAATTTACCTATCAAAACACATACTAAATCTATCTAATCCTAGCACCTATGTAGGAGGGTGCTACAGAAGTAACATTTTCCTTTAACTCTTTTAGAAAATAAGACCAATTTTGTTTTATATGCATTGCATATAGAGTTGTGAGCCCTATGTTAACCACTTACCATACGGCCCCTGTAAATAAACGGCCGGACGGGAGCAGTGCAGGAGCGGATTGCTGTTTATAAACAGTGCCCGCATTCACAGCCTGTGCGCTTTCTGGGAGGCATGGCACCGTGATCCAGTGCCCGCTGTACGATCACTGTACGGGACCTCTGCGAGGTCCCAATTCATGTGATCACTGATTGACCAATCAGTGATCACATGAATAGCAGTAAGCAATCTGTCACTTCTGACATCATTGCTTATTACTTGTGAAATCTGTGAATGATCACAGAGGTCACATGGTACAAGGCTATTCACAACAGCCTTGTACCATGTGACAAGCTGGGACCAATCATAACTCTCACAGTATTTCTCAATGGCTGAAAGAATGCAGTCAGAGAGAAGGAGAAATGATTGCTTTTACAGCATTTATGGGTGTAAAAGCAATCAGTGTAAAAAAAAAAAAAAAAAAAAATCTTCACACAAGTAATACACTATGATGACACTGTACTGCTAGGGTGACAGTATGTAAAAAAAAACATAAATAATAATATAAAAAAATAAAATAAAAATGTAAAAAAAAGTTTTGAAAAATTATAATTTTTGGTTACAAACTAATTTGGGTTATTTTTTTTTTACTAAAAAGATAACTCAATACATTTTAGCCCAGATTTATGAAGAAAGATTATTTATTTGCAAACTTTAATAAGAAAAACACTTTTTTTTTTCAAAATTTTTGGACTTTTTCATTTATATAGCAAAAAAAAAAAAAAAATCCCAGTGGTGAATAAATACCACCAAAATAAAGTTTTATCTGTCTAAAAAGAATGCTTAAAAATTCATATGGGTACAGTGTTGCATGACCGCGCAATTGTCATTCAAAGTGTGATAGCACTGAAAGCTGAAAATTGGCCTGGAAAGGAAGGGGGTGAAAATGTCCGGACTTGAAATGGCTACCCTGTTGTATACATAGGTGCTGAGATATTGTTGTGATATGTAAAGAAATGAAATGAATTAGGGTATTTAACATTTAAGGATCCAATTGTTTGCAATAAGATACTATAAGTCCTATCATACTACAATTCCTTGCTAAATAAGCCTGTCAATGGTTATATCATTTCCATATGGGTTATGTGCCAAGATACCCACATTTTCAAAGCTAAAAAATTTAGAGCTCAATTTTAAAGCAGCCTTACATGTGACCATGCCTACAGCCATGCCATGAAGATACCTTAAAAAAAATCCAACAGTCAATTTATAAACCACATTCGCTTTAAGAATATGCTTAGCGCTATTAACATTAATTAGAGATGAGACAAAAAAAGCAGAAGGAGAGCCCAGTCATTTGACCTGTCAAAGGCATGTCACCAGTTTTTCCACTAAATACAAGATGTTCTCTGTTGCATTTAACAGTGAACACTCCTTGACAGACTGCAGGATCCATACAATTTCCTACATTTTATGAATTAGCTGTAAAATGTAACCTGCAGTTTGGACTAACATTGAGGTGAAAAGTGGAGAGAAGATAGTGATATTCACTCTCTATTATATATCAGCTCTGTAGTCTGATTGAGATATAATTTCTTTACAATGAATTTTATTGTATACAACACAACAACAGAGAAACAAGCTGATTGGCACACAAAAAGGAAGGTGTACAATTCTGTTGATGAAGGACATAACAAATGCACTGAAATATTGACACGAAGAGCAGCGAAGTACAAAAACACAATCTCTAAAGAGAAG